CGGAGGTAGGTGTCACCAAGGCGATTGATGGAAAGCAGAGAAGGAGGCATTGTAGTGCCTCATTTACTGGACTCCAGTCTTCACCTTTCTCTTGGATGCACGGACTTGCGTGCGGGCTACAACAAAGCACATCCTCTTCCCCTTCTCCCTCATCCACGTCGTATGCCTACTATTTACAAAGGAGAAATCTCGGCACGCTACCAATCCTATTCCACAACCACTTCCATTCACCCAACCGTTCCAATGCCTTGGTGTTTGCATTGCACCACTTCAGAACTCGAAATGAACGAGACAGCTATGTCAAATTGGTGGCTACACTTGTGGTCATCCGTGATTGCCTTGTGAACAGAGGAAGAGGAGGAGGAGGAGGAGGACGAATCCTCGCTCACATTCGTCGCATGTGTGTACTGCTAACAGGTTGGAGTGACACTTCTCCACGTGTCATATTCACTGTGGCCACTCAAACCACCACACGCAACACCACTGTCACTTCACTGCCAATAACACCTACCCAATTACCAAGCCATTTCCTCACACTGAGTATTTTGCGTCCTAAGCAACCCATTCGCTCACCTCACATGCAAACCCAACTTCCAGTGGTTCAGTTAACGTGTAAGCAAAACCGTTGACACGCGGGATTGGATGACTTGACTGTGTGTGTGCGCGTGCTGTTAGTCTCTGGCACACAAACTACTCATCACATTGGCATGGCACAACTAGGAACGCTGTGCTTGATACTCACCATTGTCAGTGTTAGGGGCAATGCCGAACTGCCCGAGGTGCACCTTGATAGCGAGGCCAATTTCGTTGATCCACAAGGACGCATTATTCTCTTTCATGGCTTCAACTCTGTCTACAAGGAACCACCGTACTACAATGCGATAGACGTCAGTGACTCTCGCCTTCGCTTCTACCAACAGTGGGGCTTTAATGTTGTTCGTTTGGGTGTACTCTGGCATCCAGCCTTCCCACTCGGTCCAGCCATGCCCAATGACACCTATCTAAGAGCGATTGAATGGCAAGTGGAGAGGTTTGCCAGTGCAGGAATCTACGTCATTTTGGACATGCATCAGGACTCCTTGTCAACTATGTTTGGTTCTTACGACGCGATCCCACTGTGGTTGCTGCAAGCCTTCCCCAAACCGCCTCGCATATTTAAATACCCCTGGCCAATGTGTAAAACTCCGTCTGGCGATTGGGAGGGCTACACCACCTTCGCTTGCCAAATGGCCTTTCAGCATCTCTACAACAACGAGACAAATGCTTGGCAGCATTGGGGAGACTTTTGGGTGGAGGTGGCCCGTCGGTTTCACAACCGATCCAATGTTTTGGGCTATGAGTTGATGAACGAACCGTTTGCGGGTAACATCTACACAAACCCTCTTCGAGCCATTCCAGGTACTGTGCATCTGGCGGTTAAGCGAGGCCATTTCGACTCAGGCACCATTTGTGTTCTCACTTTTGCTCATCTTCAATGCAAACAGGAATTAGTGGTTGTCAGTGTTGCGTGCTTTGACTGTAGTAAGCGACTGACGTTGTTTGCACACTAGACATGCAGACTAAGTTGGTGATTGCCTTGCTGAGAAGCTCCTCTCTACTGGTAACAAGGCATTTGCTAGCAAGCAAGTACAATATATTCGCTCAACTTGCAGGCTATGCTGGCAGGCACAATCTGGCTCCGGTCTATGACTATCTGGCGCGCCGCATTCGCAGCGTGGATGGAAAGAAGTTGATCTTCTTTGAGGGTGTCACGTGGAGCGTGTACGCAGCGTCCAGCCTTGCTGGCTTAGGTGGACCCGGCTTTGAACACGTACCCGGAGGCAGCATCGATCCGCAGGAATTTCGGAGAAGTGTCTTCTCCTATCACTACTACTGTCCGTTGATCGAGTTCGCCAACATGAGTCGCAGCTTCGCTTCCCCTCTCCGCATACTTTGTGACGATGTTAGTGCAATGCTTCCGGTTTGCATATGTCTTTGTCTGCTTTGGTTGTATTCACATGTGCTGCACTGTTGTAAACCATCATTAGATCATTATGCCCAGAATGTTCGCGTCGGTGAAGGCAACTGCTAGGCAATTGAAATGCGCACGATTTTTGACGGAGTTTGGGACGTGCAAACCCGACGGAAACCCCCATTCCATCAACACAATCGAGTGCAATGCTGTCATGAATGGAGCGGATGCACAGCTGCAGTCATGGACTTACTGGAATGCAGGGTTTTTCGATGAGAAGGAGATGCCTATCGAAGACAAGGTAGGTGATTGTTGGCTTAGGTATTACTAATCGGTTGTGTTAAGGTAAAGCCATTCGCGCGAGTGTATCCGATGCTGACTGGTGGCGCACCAATAGCTTTGCACTTCGACGTAACTAGTGCCTCGGCGTTCTACGCCTTCGCCGCCACTGACTTGACTATGCACCTGGCCAGAAGCGGGCAGCCCATCGGCAACGTATTTATTCCTATCGATGTGCATTACCAACACGGATTCAACTTCGAAATTAATGTTTCTTCAGTTTGGTACAATGCTTCACCTCACAATAGCAATCAATTCTATTTGTACGCGTCACCCGATGCACTCAGTGAGGGCACCATCATCGGGCTAAACATTCACGCCTCAAACAACACAACATGCTAATTGTTCTGCTCTATGCCTTATCTATCCCACGTTTCATTTCCATATGTCCATTGCGATAATAATGCCAATACAAAACTTGCTATTATGGCAGCTAAAGCAGCTTCTCGAGGGTGGGTTAGTCAGGTGTAAACCACCTTACTATTGGGACCTTAGGATCGCGCTTCGGGGCACGGAAAAGCTACGGTGGAGCCACCTCATTCTCATCGCACGGATGGCAAGTCAGCTATCCCAAACATCCTGCATTGCGCATACAAAAGAGATTAGAAGACTAACAAACAAACGATGAAATAAGATGCGGATAAAGGTTAGAAGTGGTGTGCCTGACATGCAGGTAGAGGGGAATATCTGTTGTGTGCCATTTAAATTCACTATGTTTATTTTATAAACTGATTAACCTCGAGCGCTGCGTTTGAAGTACCGTGAGGTGTGCATGGAAGCGTGGATGTGCGGCTTCCTTGAGGTTGGTGCTTGGTGTAAGACCACTTCATGCTGTCGCATTTTTTTGACATTCTCTCCTACGCCAGCTC